TTTGGACTGAAAAATGCTGGAGCAACATATCAACAGCTGGAGAACAAGATGTTCTAATCTTAGATTGGAAGAACAATAAAGGTATATATGGACAATATGCTGGTAAAGTGCCTCACCATAGTAGACCACCTGCACGAAACCTTTGATGTTCTCTAATCATACCACATGAAGCTAAATCCTAAGAAGTATGCCTTTGGCGTCAGGTCAGGAAAGTTCTTAGACTTCATGGTCAACCAAAGGGGAATTGAGGTGAATCGAGACAAAATAAAGGCCATCCTGGATATGAGGTCTCCCACCACAACCAAGGAACTCCAGCGCCTCAATGGTAGAATTGTAGCCCTTAACAGATTTGTCTCCAAATTTGTATATAAATGTTTACCTTTCTTCAAAATTCTCTGGAAAGCCTTCAAATGGGGGCTTGACACGAAGGAAGCTTTTCAAAACTAAAAGCTTATTTGGCTACGCTCCCTTTCCTCTCTGATGCCATGTTAGGGAAAACTTTATACCTATACCTTTCCACTTCCTCATCAGCAGTAAGCTTTGTCCTCATCAAGGACAATGAAGGAGTGCAAAAGCCTATGTATTACGTAAGCAAAGCGTACCGGGGAGCAGAAATCAAATATTCAGGGCTAGAAAAGTTAGCACTGGCCCCGATCTCTATAGTGAGGCGTCTCTGGCATTACTTTCAAAGTCACACCATCGTCGTTGTCACTGATCAGTCTCTAAAAAGAGTCTTGGGAAAACCAGATATTTCTGGAAGGCTTCTGAAGTGGGCAGTTGAGTTGAACGAGTTCGATGTGCATTACTAACCAAGGGCAGCCATCAAAGCACAAGCCTTGACAGACTTCATTGTTGAGCTCACACCGGAGGAAGAAGAATACAGTGAACCTTTGACATCTTTACCAGACATCCAAAAAGTTGCATCAGGAGTCCAACTAGAGACCCAAGCGACCCAAACAAATGCCTTAGCCATCCAGGTGCCTAGCCCGGGCACCCCGAGCAAACTAGCATCCTACCTAGGCACCCTTGCAGGCGTCCACAATGGGCTCTGACACTTCCACTTTGCCATCTCCCCAAATTACGGAGTCAATGTGCTAGAAACTTTATGTGGATGACTCTTTGACCAACGAAGGAAGTGGAGCAGGCCTAATACTTATTAGTTTCGATGGCACTTCAATCAAATATGTCGTAAAACTTCATTTTGTAGCCTCCAAAAATGAAATAGAATACAAAGCCCTCCTTTTTAGCTTAAGGTTGTCAATTGAAATGGAAGTCAACACCTTGTCACTTTTAGTGACTCGCAGTTGATAGTCAACCAAATGAAGGGCAAGTTTGAAGCAAAATATGCCAGGATGCAAAAATACTTGGTAATGATGCAAGTCATACTGACCAAGTTCTGTCACTTCCAAATTCACCATGTTCCGAGGGAAGATAACTCCGTAGTGGATGCACTGGCTAAACTAGCTTCATCTTCAGAAGCCCCACCAAGAACAACATTCATTGGTCACCAGTTCAAACCAAGCAGACCAGTCGTAGAGGCCACTAATGTTAACTGCACATCTAACCGAGTCAAACTGAATGACCTCAATTAGGGCGTACCTTAGGAGGGCACATTACCAAACAACCCGTTGGAAGATAAGAAACTTAGAATAAGAGCCTCAAAGTTTACCATCTTGTAGGACATACTGTATAAAAAGGGCTACTCCTACCACTACTATGTTGCCTCTCTTTAGAGGAAGCTAACTATGCCCTATGAGAGATCCATGAAGGAGTGTGTGGAAACCACTATAAAGGACATTCCCTAGCCCCACGAGGCACTTAGGTAGGGTTACTTATGCCCTAGCATAGTTAGAGACGCACAGGAGTTCACCAAGAAATGCGACAAGTGCCAACACTTTGCCACTGTGCCCAGGCAACCACTAGAGGAATTGACAACTATCACAAGTCCATGACCCTTTTTCAAGTGGGGCATCAATATTCTGGGCCATCTACCTCTAATAAGAGGGCAATACAAGTTTGTGGTAGTAACCATTTACTACTTTACAAAATGGGCGAAGACTGAGCCCTTAGCAAAGATAACAGATGCAAAGGTCAAGGACTTCATCTGGAAGACCCTAGTCTGTCACTTTGGAGTACCCCATGCCATAGTCAGTGACAACACCAAGCAATTCAATAATAGACTCCTGAACTTGTTCTGCGCCGACCTTCAGATCAAGCAGCCTTATTCTAGCCCAGCACACCAGCAGGCAAATGGATAGGCAGAGGTCATAGTTAGAATAACACTATGCAACCTAAAGACAAGGCTAGAAAGAGTAAATGGTATGTGGGTTGATGAACTCCTGGGTGTATTGTAGGCCTACCACATGATGTCAAGAGCCCCGATTGGAGAAACTCCTTTCTCACTCACCTTTGGAACCAGAGCAATTATACTTGTAGAGATTGTGGTACATTCTCTACGGATCCAACACCACAACCCCATAACCAATGAGGAAAGACTTCGTGTCAATCTCAGCTTGGTGGAGTAGAAAAGAGAAAGGGCTATGGTCTAGAATGCGGAGTACAAGTGCTGCATGGCAAGATACTACAACTCGAGGGTGAAGCCTCGTTCATTCCTACCAGGAGACTAAGTTCTCAAGAAGGTAATCCTCACCACGAAGGATTCACAAAAAGGGAACTTGGTTCAAACTGGGAAATACCCTACCTCATAATAGAAGTAGTGAGGTCAGACACCTACAGGATCCAGAATTCCAAAAGAAAAGTTTTACCCTATCCATGGAATGTTGAGCATCTGAAAATGTACTACCAATGAAACTTAAGGATGAAAAAATTGATAAAGTTGGGGGCTTAATTTATTTTTTCTTGTACCTTTTTTGGGTTATTACCCACCATTGCTCGGAATAAGTAGTCATCAAATAAAATTTTCTAAAATTGACTTCAAAAAGTTTCTTTCATCATTGCATTCTATTTCAAGTGAATATCAGTGGAAAAAAGCTATTTTTACAAAAGAAGGCTGCACACTGCCTTTCTACCAAAAAAAAAAAAATCAAAAATCAAAAATCAAAAAGCACTCTAATTGTTTTCATGGTCATTATCCTCCTCCTCTGCTTCGTCAGAGTCACCACCATCACCATTAGCATCATAAGGTGCCTCATACGACACAAAGCCTAAAAATTCAATATCAGAGAAAGCAGTAGAAATCTTTCTCCGAAGCTCCTCATAGCCATCGTTGAAGGCATCTGCAAGGCCACTTTCTAAATCAGCCTCAACCTTGGTGGCCCTCTCATGAGCCAATTGCAGATCCACCTCAGCCTGAGAAACTTTCTCGTGAGCTGCCTTCAACTCTGCTTCTGCTCTCAAGCAAGCAACTTCACCATCTGCCTCGACTTAGCGGCCCTCTCGTGGGTTGCCACAAGCTCTGCTTCGCCCATCATGCAAGTCGTCTCTCTGAGCTTGACCCTCTCATGAGTCACAACAAGCTCAACATAGGAAACCCTACCATTAGTCTTAAGCTCAACAATTCTTCATTGAGCAGCAAGAAGCTCCCTTTTTAAAGCCTTATGAGCAAGCCTCTTCCCCCTGATAGTTGAGCTCAACTGGCTAAACTGGATAGCCTTCAAAAAAAGGCATACAGAAGCAACTGAAACCTGAAGAGGATAAAAGAATGTCAGTACCTAAGGGAGAGACAAAAGTAATGGAGAAAACTGACCCTTACCTAGGCCAAGCCTTCTAGAGCAGTGTCAATGATACCCTCAGTGCCCTAAGCGTCAACCATACTAATGTTTATAGGAAGCATAAATCTTCCAAGTTGGTCCCTAACGATCAGCACGTCATCCAACATGGAGGCAGTCTGAGTGGTTGCCCCTATAAAAGTCCCTATAGGAGGAGTTGATGAATGGGGGGCAGGAGGTATGGCTGCTTGGGGAGTCTCTAGAGCGGCGGTCACCTCGGAAGGAGTCACTAACTGGGGAGGTACCACATGAGGCTTTATTTGAAAGGGCCTTGCCAGAGTATCGCTCACCTTTGCTACCCTAGGAAAAGAAGTACTCCTAATGGAATAACGAGACTTCACCACCTTCTTATCCACTGCAAGAGGGATAAAGTGTTATCTTGAAGAAAAATTACGTAAAGAAAGGGAATCCAAGGGAATTAGCATACCTTTTCTCTTTAAAGAGGAACCACCAGGCCTCGGAGAGGGCACACCAACTCTAGCATTTCTAGTAGGGGAATCTCTAGCTCCACCCTCTCTAAGCATGAGGGTCCCAAAGTCTTTCATATGATGAGCCTTTATAACTTGCAACATCCATTCTTGGTCTTTTGAGAGCACCGAGGAGCCTAGAAGGAATGTGATGAGTACATATTTGCAAAAGAGCGAAGAAAAAAGAATAAGAGTGGGCATACCAATTCTCTTGGGAGTATCTTATCTTGCTAGTACCAAAGCTCTATCAGCCTCTGAACCTTACTTTCCTCCAACAAACATAAAGCGAGCCTTCCAACTGTGGCAATTAGAATACAGTCCGATAATCAGTTTTCCTCTCCTCGGAGCAAAATAATACCAACTACAATTGGGAGTAGGAGTCTCACTTAGAGTGTAAGCCGCACAAAACTCTTTAGGAGAAACATCCTCATGATGCACCTTTCTCCACAATGCCAGAAATTCTAGCAAAACTCTCCAACTGTTGGGTGCCAACTGCCCTGGCACAAGTGAAAAACAATAGAGAATGCGTCAAATAGAAGAAGGCATTGGGAACCTCAGCCCAGCCTCAAGCACCTCCTCATAAATGGTAATGTCTCCAGATGAGTCATCACAAGCAAGTTCACCCATTTTAGCTCGACCACGCAGTACCGTTGGAAGGGTGTTATAAGTGGAAACAACTTTTAGAATATCAACATTAGTGTTGAGGGTACTAGAAATGGTACTTACTTTAGATCTGTCGTCATCAAGAGCTACCTTTCATCGACTTTTGCTGTTGCGAGGGTGAGAATCGTTGCTCGAGCCATTACTAGGAGACCCTTGAGGGATCTGACTCTATGGAGTTTCTACCTGAATGAACCATATCATCCATCGTCTGCCTAGAATTAGCGCCGCCGAAAATACTAGCATCCTTTGGCGTACTCTGCTCCATGAGCCGGGACCCAGACTTCCTAGCTCCATGCCCACTTCCGCCACCAAGCCTGGCTCACCTAGCGTCGACAAGTCCACGTCCAGCATCACCCGCTCACACCCTAGCCCCTCTGCCGCCCCTCGCACTCACGCCTGGCAACGCCCAGTGCCTCGCGACACCACTGACGCGCATACCTGACCATACCTAGCATTTGTTGAACCCAATTGCGGGCTCTGTTGCCTGTGTTCGTCATCTAGCATCGCCCTTCTGCCACAATCAACACAGCCACCATCCCTCGACGACCCTGACGCCTTGCCATCAGCGCCCTTTACTCGCAACGCCTAGCTATTAGGGCCCTTCACCCGCTCACTGGCACACGGTGCCCATGGTGTGTCGCCCTCGACGTCGACCCATGACGCCTCAACCTCCCTGATTTGTGCCTCATCTTTGGCGCTCTCTTCACGATAGACGCGTCCCTCCAGCTGTGTCCGTGGCGCCCCACGATTAGCGGCGCCCATGGGGTCTCGCCCATGATGCCCTCTCTCATCCCCACAACTTGGTGCGTGCCCTTAGCTCCTCACCTCCAGGGGCCACGTGAATCAGATCAGCATTTGTGGAGCCTTCGGGCTCGCCAACACCACCATGGCACCTAGCTTCGCCAACTTCACCTTCGGTCACCACTACCCAACGAGCTCCTGACCGTTTGTTTCAATGCTGGTTGTTCCATTGCCATGGATACCAGTGGACCTTTGCATCTCTTCTCCTTCACTCAACATTATCTCTGAGCACAAAACTCAAAATGGGATCGCGAAGCTTCCCTCTTGCTTTTGTTCTTAGGAAATCACTAGGAGCCCTATCTCAAAGTGAATGAAATGAGAAGAGAAGATAGGAATTCCAAATTTATGGCCTAGGGTTTTTTGAAATTCTAAAAGGAAATAAAGTGGGGGAGTTTATATAGCTAAAAATGTCCTATAGACAAAATGAGTTTACATATTAGGAAGGGAAAGAGTTGACAGTCAAAAGAAGTCTCCGTCAGCCAGAATTCAAATTCAGCAAAATGCCCTCTTCCCCAAGTTTTATTGGACTCGAGGCATTGGGGGGGCAAATGATAGGCCAGGTCCAAGGGCCCAAATCAGATTATAAGCCAACTTGAACAAAGAGCCCAACTAGACGAGATCCAATGAGTCCAGCCCAAATCAGATCTCGCTTATCAGGGTTCGGGGAGTTACATCACTAAGGAGTAGGCAAAGCCATCCCAAGAGCCTCATCCACGCCGCTTTGAAAAAAGTCAACCACCATGTCATCCTTTGACCTAATCTTAAGGAGAGCTTTGTAGCTACTTAATTACTAAAAAGATGCTTCAGTCCGTTAATAGGCACTATAAATTATAAACTCCGCCAATATTTGGGAGGCATTGAACACATCTGCTATTATTCTCATCTCTCTCTCATAGCTTGTACCTCGATTACTCTCATTTGATCTCCTTACACTCCTCAAAGTAATAAAACACTATACCATCCTAATCTTTCATAGTAGACTAGGTCACGTTGACCAAATCACTCTATATCTCTGTTTTATTTGTGTTACTCTTTTTTTACTTAATTATTGTATTAATCATCAATTACTCGACAGGTGGTGAAAAAATCAATTTGTGCGTCAAACTGATTTAATGGGAATTTTACTATTTTTTACTTTGTATCCAATATTATATATAGTATTTTTTAATTTGACAATTGGTAATATGAATATTCACACCAACGCTGTACAACTTGCGTGCGTTCCAAAATCCAAATTCCGAGTTCCAAAATCCAAATTCCGAAATCCAAAATTAAAGCAAAAACGCACCCACACGCACACCCGGCACGCACTCTCGTTCTATTGCTTCCGCTTATATTATCGATGAAGATCGTTCGCAGAGATTTGGTCCGTGATGGCCCTGGTAGTGTCAAGGTACATAATCCAACAGTAACGCAATGCCAGACGACCAAATTTTCTTTGTTTATTTGTCGTTTGATTTTTTAAGAATTCGAATTTGAATTTGATGTGGTTTTTGAAATTGGTGGGTGCAGATGATTCCAGAAGAAGCGGATGATTTGTGGCTTGCTTATAATCTGATTGTTGAGGGTGACACTGTCTTAGCTGTTACCGTTAGGTATACACTCTCTCCACGCAAGAGTGTGTGTGTGAATATGTGTGTTGCCGTCTCTTATTCATAGTGAAAGGTTGAATTTCTTCTAATCATGCTTATCGAATTTTGTTAATTGGTCTTTCGAAAGTAATGGTGCTGTTTGGTTGTGGAGAGGTTTGTGGAAATGAAGATGTTTGGACTATATATGGGCTAATAGGGATGAAAATTGATAATTGGGACTATGTATGGCTGAAATTTTAGTTTTTCGATACTAAACCAAACGAAAGCAAAACCTAGCTTGGCAGTTAAATGAATTTTGTGTCTGACAATGTGTAAAAGCACGGGGACTTAAAATTCGAATCGGTATAAAATCATTTTAGGATACACAATTCCACACTAGGATATAAATTTTTCTGTTTTTGCATCAGTGCTTGAGAGAGGGATAGTTACTGCTGTGGGTGGTAGAGAAAAGAAAGAACATCATCAAACATACAAAGTGAAGGGTGTGAATAAAATCAATTTGTACTTTTTGGGTTTTTTGGATGTGGGGCGTGTGTGAAGAGGAGCAGTGAAATTATAATTATTGGTTCAATTTAACACCGGATGTGTTTATGTTTTTGATTTTTTTTGAAAGATACCATTGGGCTGGAACCTCAACGCATGATAAATGAAGTGAACATTGTTCATGTTTATAAACTTGTGAGCAATCATATTCTTTGAGTGCATGAGGACCAATTAATCACCTTTTTCCCCCCTCTGTGTGAAGGAAACAGCTCAGTGTGGATGCCTCTAAAATGAGCCTTATCACCCTTTTAAAATATTCTATTTGCTGTGATGGTCCTATGCTTTTGCTGATCCACTAAGATAGTGAAATTGCATCAATACTGATGTCTAAACCCTATGGGCAGACAGTGAATAGGTGTTTGTCACAACTTTACCAAATTAATCACGAGATAAGATCAATTCAAAATTTTGTGGGATAAAATGACTAATTAAGCAGTTTTAGGCAATCATATGTCACGATACAATATGATGAACCAACGGCTCTAAGTTCAATATATCTATGACCATAGTTGTGAATATGTTATGATACGTCTTGCTACAGTACCCAAATGGTACGTTTCTTATGAGTTGTATCATTTTTTACCGTACCTTGCGATACTGATACGTATCTTATGATACATTTCGATACAATGAAAAAGCGATTTGCGCAATATCTAAACGACATCTATTTCACAATGCCTTTTGTTTTTTACCATAAATAGTTAAAATAATGCTGTTTTCCGATATGTTATTTTTTCTTTTTTGGATTATCTCAAACAAAAGAAACTTTCGATCATCTTCTTGTCATGAGACCATTTTTTTTTCTCCTTTATTTTATTTTTCTTCTTATTCAAACAGACAAAACCATTGCTATATTGTGATGTCTGTCGTAAAGATCGGTAATTGTCTCTCATTTGATCTTTATTGGACACTCACATCACACGAAATGATGAGTGAGTTTATATTACTTGAAACACTACATATTTACATATTTTTAAGGGGGTGTGCATATACAAATTTTTTAAATTGAGTATATCTTACAATATGCGGTACGTTATTTTTAAAAAACGATATATATTTTGATTCTCGTTTTGACAATCTTGTCTTTGACACAACTCCCTCATAATGTTTAAATCAAGCTAACTATCCAATCAAGCATAAGATGAAAAGGCACAAATGTTTTTACATGGAACTCAAAAGGAAAAACCATGGGATCAGTATTATATGAGGCAACAGTTGGGTCCTTTTTCAAACAAATACTAAAAAATCATGAAATATTACTCCAAAGTTTCGAATTCCATAGTAGAAAAACTGCCACATGCAATTCCAATTTTGACCCACCAAACATAATTTTGTTTTTGAATTCTAACACCATATTTGGATTTGTGGACCCAAAAAACATAGGACCATGCCTTCCTTTTTAATCAAACTTAATTTTTCAAAAACCAAATTCCATGTTCTTCCCCAAATTTTTGGTTATAGTTTCTTTTTTAATTCTTGGCACCCATTTATATTAACTTATAGGAAGGTTAGATATTGTTGGTAAAAAATTTGCCCCAACCTCCACGTAAAGCTAAGTTGAACTTTGTCAACTTTCAAGTCGGCTCTCCCTCCGACGATCTTGAACCAGCTTTTCAAGTTTTGGGAATCCCGTAAAGAAGTCAAAGACCGGAGAGGGAAGCTCCGAGGGTCAACCCTCTGATGCTAAAGTCAACAATATGGTGAAAGCTGGGGAGGTATATTTAGAAACTGAGTTATGTGCCTTTCATATTTTCCATAAGCTGCTTTTTAGGGTCTAGGAATTAGTTTTCTTATGGGAGTGGACTCTAGGCTCCCCCATTGAGAAATTAGACTCCTTCTGTTTGAGGAGTTTGATCTTCCTGCCCATCCTTTGAGGCGAGGCGAGACTCCCTTCGCATGAGGAGTCTTTGACTTCCTTTCCAACTGTTAAACAGGTTGAGATTCATTTGGGATGAGGGGTTGTGCTCTTCCTTGGATCTTTCATTATGGAGTACTTCGGTTAGGCTCTTCCTTTTCAGTTTTTCTTCCACAGATTTTGCCTTGTAGCAAAAAAAATCCTTTGAGAAGAACTTAAGGCTTTTTTTGAATCCCTAATTCATTAATCGCCTTGCAAGAATCTTTGATTCGTACTCAATCCTCTCGCAATTTACTAATTGTTTGCTTCTTCCTCTATTTTATATTCATCACAACTGTTTTCTTTTAATGGTGGATACCAATTCTGAAAGAACTTTGTTTGATCTTCCTTTGCCTCTGGTACACGAGGCAGACCTTGCGAATGAAGATCCAAAGCTTTTCTTGGAGTATCCCTCTACAGAATAATCTTTTAACTAGAGTATTACGCCAAGGGTGTTCGTAGTAGCATCACATAAATGGATCTTTAGGAAATTAGGGCTCAATTTTCCATCTAGACTTTGTTGGGCTACGAGTCCCTACGAATGATGAAAGAGCTTGTGACTTTATTATAGGTGAAGTTTGTTTTTATGAGGTTGCCCTAAACTCTGGGCTCAGGTTTCTTATCCAGCCCTTCATTCGCAATTTTCTCTCGTTTCTTAATATTAATCTTGCCCATCTTACCCCCAATCGCCAAAGAGTCTTGATAGGTTTGGGGTTCTCTAGGGCTCTGCCCTTTGTATTGTGAGGATGTCCAAAATGCTGGCCCACTAGTTCTACAAGGTAGATGATCTTGTTGACCTTCTTTCTTTCATTGTTTCCTCTTTCCTCTTTCCTTTGCCTCTAACAACTCAATGTATTTGCCTTGGCTAAGCTGCCATCTTTGCCACTAGAATGACCTACTCTATCTTCACGGAAGAGAATCTTTGGGAATAG